AACCTTCAATACCCATTAAAGACGGAAAGAAAAGTTCTTTCTTTGATGATGATTATACAGAGAGAAGAGGTAAAGACGAAGAAGAAGAGGAGGAAGAAGAAGATTTGTCTATGGTCTCTGATGCATCCTCTGGCCCTCCACATCTCCAAGAAGATATTAATCAAGATCGAAGGTACTTTGCCAATGGCTATTTTAATAATGAGGTATGTGAAGCAGAGTACTCCCCTTCATTTCCCGGCGATGGCAAACGCCAGCTGATTAGAGAACGATGCCGCCATCGCCGCCGGGAGGAGAATCAAGAACCGCCGGGAAATTTTCTCGATGACACTGCCAGTTCTCCTCTCGTTAACTTCTCCAATGTGAGTTATATATATATATATACGTATATAATATAAATATACAAATTTCTTGGTCTGAAGATTGACATTTTTCTTTTTACATTATACTCGTATGGGATTTCAATGAAAATTTCAGAACAATGTTTCCATCTCCAACAATCAAGCTTCATTGGAAAGCGCCTTGGATTATTCACAAGGATTCTCTGCAACCCACTTTCAGGTACTTTACCTATCTGTCATACTTCAAAAATTAAAAAACTTTCTAGATTTAGCATTTTCTGATTCTACATATTTTGATCTAATATGTATATATATAATAATTTGACAGGAGCGAAGATCTACATTCCAAGACCATTTTGGCTTCTTCCAGTCTCCTCAACTTCCAAATAACCAGTTAAGTACCAATATTGCTTTTAGTCTTTCTTAGCTTTTGTTTTTTGTCTTTGGCTATACTCACACTTATTTTACATATACATATACATATATGTAAAATTTACAGGTGGTTTTAAGGGAGAAGAAGATTAATCTCTCCAAGCTCTTACTCTGCTACTGCAACTTGTTGATGACTTGGTGTAAGGTTGTTGTCAAAAAAGAAAAAGGAAAAAATATGGATCTCAAAGGAGATCTTTTTTTTTTTTTTTTTTTTTTGGTTATTGTAATTTAACTTTATCTGTCAATGCACTGGGAAACAACCTGGGAGCTAAAGTTGGAAATAAAATTTCTTGGTTTCGAACTATATATACATACACACACACACACACACACAAATATATATATATATATATAAATACACATATATACACAAACATGCACAGAGACTCTCTTGTCAATGAATAGTGGGTACAATTGGGGCTGACTCTCTTTTGGGCAGACTGCAAGAGCATAAATTAGCTCTGTGCAATTATGTGTTTTTCAATGGAGCCCCATGCTCTCTCTTTATATCAATTTAATTCTTTGATGGCCATAAAATAAAATACCCAGATGAATAAATTAAAAATTTATATATTTTAAAAAAATACCCACAACAAAAATTTTGATTATTGAATATTAATTATTAGAAATTCAAAATATCCTTGATAATTAATTGTAATAAGAGCCAAAGGGTTGTACTCAAATCTCCAGGAGACAGGACAAAATGGACTATGCATGGGAATCCACGTAAGACTAGTGGACAAAATTGACTGGGGATATATATGTATGAACGTACGTATGTATGTATGTATGTAAGTATGTATCCTGTAAATCAAAATCAGATTTTGATGATGTGAACAGGGATTTGCTGTAATTCCCCAAATCTAAACTGCAAACATATATAATATATGTGTGGATACACACACACACACATATATATATATATATTCTCTCAAATGATCTGTAAGTAAAGTGACTTGAGATGCATAGAAGCAGTGAGATGGATAACGACAAGGCCTACATGTCTGATATGTGGCGTGTGCAGACAAGGCTGTCATGCAAGTGAAACCCAGATTCAAGTGAATGGACATACTCAATACACAATGTATGTATATACATATTTATGTATATATTAGGGTCGATCAAGGTTTCAGATTTTGATAATAAGCATATTCTGAATCATTGGGTTTGATCAATAATATATTAAAAGTTTGAATTGATAAAAAAAATGTTACATATTGATCAATATATATATGTATATAAACTTGGTGGGACTAAAAGTGTCAATTAGGTATACACTAATTACTATATTTTATGACAATATTTATTTTAATAATCAATAAGTATGATTTCCTTTTAGAAATGTTATGTTTCATTCATTAATTACATTTAGGTCAAGATGGATCTTGACCTTCGTTTTTTCTCATTTGAATACAAAAATAATAAAGTATATGTAAAATTACTCACATTGAAATGAATTATAGCGTGTGTGTGTGTGTGTGTATGTATATGTATATGTATATGTATATGGGTTGATATGGGCATGAAGATGGAAATGAGACAAATTAAGATGATGGAATTGAATAGATGAAATGGGTGGGTGTAATGGGCAAATGAGATGATGGATGAGGGAAGGAAAAATGACAAAAAAAAAAAAACAATGTTGGAATATTTCATATGCATTCTCCATTACCCTTTTTTTTTAAGCCTACTCCAGATCCTGCCTCTCATCTTCCTGACCCAATGGAACATGCTCTTATTTTTTTAATACCCTATAAATTTTCTCTTTATCTCATTTTGGATCTTTCTTCTTTTATTTGTTTTTTCAATTTTTAAATCATACCCACATATATATATGTATATATATATTGATGATCTCTTCGACCCTGTCTGCTTTGAAGCTGTCGTTGAAGTTGATGTCATACACAATTATATGTCTTTCTTCCTCAGCTCCCTTTGATCTTTTCAATATATATTATTAAAGTGCTGCTCTCCAATACTATATAACATAACATTAAATTAATATATAACTTGTTCTTCATTGAAACTGTTGAACTGAAGAAAGATTTTAAAAGATTGGACTTGGGAATTTAGGATGTCAAAGCTAAGACCTCAACCCAGTACCCACATTCTCTATTTCCATATATATATATATATATAAAGAAAAGCTAAACACAAATCAGTGCGTGTGTATGTATATATATATATGTATGTATGTATATGTGTACGTAGATGAAATGGGTTTGGGAGTGGATAAGGATGGAAGTATGGGGGAAAACGTAGAGTGTTGTTTCAACCACTGCCTAAAAACAAAACCTTCAATCCCTTTGTCACTTGCAGAGGGAGAAACTGGGAGCAGCTTCTTTTGTTTTCTTATTTGATTTCTGCTGCCGTTTTACCTATACCCTGTTCCCGTTTTGCTTGACAATATTTCTTTACTTTCCTTTTTTTTTCTCTTTTTTTTTCTCCCCCCTTATCGTCTCTGCCTTTTGAAGCTGCATGTGCTTTAAATCAGTCAGCTGCCAACCTTAATTCAATACTCACCGTTTTCACTATAAATAAATAAATAAATACATATGTATTAGTTAATTAATTACATACATACATACATATATATATATATATATATCTAGATTAATGCACACTTCATCATAAAATTATAGCACTAATATATAAATAACAGAGCAAGACAAAATCCTTAATTAGTTACTGCTTTAAGCATGGAATCAAAACCTAACCTACCGAACTCAAATGATAATTAATTTCATACAATACATATATATTATATATCTATATATATATATATTATATGTCTATACTAGCCAGTAAGCACATTCTTTCTTTGAAAATACAACCATTTGGCTGCCATTTTACGAAAAGAAAGGTCATAAAGCAACCCTATTAATATTTTGTTCTAAATTGACCGTGCATGATTCCGCGAACATCACAAAGACCAAGCATATAGAGATGTATGTATATATACATATACATACATACATACATACACAGACAGATACATATATATATATTCAGGTCTCTGCAGAGTTTAATGTGGTTGCGGAAGGCACAATTAAAAGCAAGAAGGCAGTGTGTATTTATTTATATTTTTATTAAAGAGAAGCAAGGAGAGATGGCAGGAAATTTGCAGGCACTGAGTAAATGTGATATATATACATTATATATATATATGTATGTATACACTTAACTCGGTGTGTTTAAGAAATGTATCTTCCATAAATAAAGGGTTTGATCGTATTCATCACACTTAAGCAATTACAAAATATTCCTACTTTACATATATACAACATATACATACATATATACACGTAGTGAAATTCAGCATGTTATTTGTTATAAAATAATTTTTTATCTGAATACATCATAATTTATTTTTAAAAAATAAATTTAATCATATAGTCTCATAAATACACTAATAAAATAATATATTAATATATCGAATAGTGCATTACGGGTAAATCATCGTTATTTTATTACAAATCGATGAATTTCACGTTTTTAATTATATTTAAATTCATAATTTTTAAATAAAACGTAAAATTTATTAAAATGTTTATAAAATTTTTGTTCATGCAAAAATGTACTAAATTTAAATATTTAAATATCTAGCTAGCACTTGGGTCAACTCATATTTGATTGGATCACATTGTAATGAGAGAGTAAACTTGATTATAATTTGTTATTCATCCTTAAAAGATCAAAAAATATATATATATATATATTATATTATATAAGAGAAAAGACCATAATAAACATGAGGAGTAAAACACCAATGACCATGTCCCATCCAAAAACATGACATGATTTATATTATGAAGAAATATATAAATTCTCATTGAAGTGATCACATATCAAACCAACATATATGTATTTATGTATGAATGTATGTATGCATGCATGTATGTATGTATGTATGTATATTTATACATTTGCCTCCCCATTTAGCACCAAAAGGATCTCTCATCTCCCTAATAACATCACCAATCTTTTTTCTGTTTTTTGGGAACACACCCATTACACAATCATTATTTGTTGGAGAAAAATAGCCAAGTGGGTCTACAATATATACCAATATAAGATTCTACACAAATATATATATATATATATATATATATCATATGTTTAACATCTCAAATTTTGTTTAACAATGAATTTTTTTTTTTTGGGTTGAAAATTAAACATGATGATATTTCAAAAAGCAACTTTTAGCATATGTAATTATGTACATGTATATATATATATATGTATATATATATATTTGATAATAAATATAAAGACTAAAGTCACACTTGAAACAATTTTTTTTTTTTTAAATTTAACTAGAAATCACACAATTCTTTTTCCCAAATGATAAAAATTAACATTCTATAAATTGCTAGTGAAATTGAAATAATATTTTTAAATTTCACTAATTTTCATGAAACTTAAAATAAAATTTTAATTTAGATTGAAATATATATAGGAAATAAATATTGAATATTTTTTAAAAAATAATAAATAAATTTTCCAACACAAAATCAATTTATTCAAAATATAATCTAATGGGTGAAGACAATTAGGCCCATTACTCATGGGCCCAATTGAAGTACCATCTCAATAGAGCCCAATATATATATATATACATATTATATAATGTTATATATTTACAAAAAAAATAAAAATAATATAAAAAAACATGGCAAATTTCAATTAAATATTTCTAAGCAAATTAATTAATTTTCTAAATTCCAAAGACTGATTTAATTTCTTAATTATACAATTAACAATTAAGAATTAGATTAATTAGAAATTAAATTAATTATTTATTTTTTGAAGCCAATCAAGAATACCCTTTTTCTGGCTCAGAAAGCTGCTTCTCCTCGTTATTTCTCAATGATCATCCACAAAGTCAAAGTAATCCCTTGTAATTTCTCTTGTAATAGCTATCCAGTCTCTGCAATTTTTCAGTACGTAAAAAAATACTTATTTTACGACAAAATAAACTAAGTTTTTTCTAAAATAAAAAGAAAAATTCCACATGTACCTCTTTGTCATTCTTGGCCTTATTTTCCTCAGATTTCTTCAGATACTCTGATAACATAATTCAAATTTAATCACTAGTTTCATCAAAGATTGGGAAAAAAAAATCCATTATGGGTATCAAAGAAACATAGAAAATAAGCATATAATTTGTAAAGAAAAGAAAAAGTAAAGAAATTACTGTTCAGAAGCTCAGTTCTTGAGTCACTGACTTGGGTGGCAGCAACCAGAGTGGATAAAACCAGTCCTCTCCTCCTTCCAATCTCAGTAGGGTTTTTTCTTGTTCTTGTTGATTTCGGTGTGTGAATATTCAAGCAAGAATATTTGTTCAGTACTGTAACAGTTAATGCCACTATTACACTTTGCCCGGCTCCTATGGAACTCATAATTTCTTCTTCTTCTTCTTCTTCGTTTTTCGTTTTCTTGATGCTAATAATAATAACATTATCTGATTATATCCATTTATCTCCTCTCAGAAAAATACAAAGACGACAGAGCTAGTCTTGTCTGTTTCTGTTGTAATTACATATCAGTCCTCATTCACCTAGGCTTGCAGAATTTGCATTCTAGTCCTTTTTCTCTTTTGAATTTTATATTTGCCCAAGAACAAGTCGTCAAGATTCTTAAACAGTGAACTTCCAGTAAAAGGAAAAGATGTCGGGTCCGATAAGAAAATATAATCAATTGTATAACTTGAAGGTAATCACCAAACAAGACTACCCAATTTTCAGTAACATCGGAAAACAAGGTTTTGTTACAGAACTTGTTTTGGTAGTAGATCTCCATGGATCATTCTCTCTACAAAGATTACAGAGCAGGCCAGTCAATTTACTGGCTTCTTCGATTATTTTAGCAGTATAACACATTCTTTCTCGAATTACTCGAGCAAGTTCTTGTGCTTACACCAGGCAATTGCAGCCACATATAGAAAGACGGTGCCAGTAGTACCACCAAGAATGGTCCATAGAAACATGTCTACACTGGTTTTCTCCGCATCAAACAGCTCGATATGGATGTTCATACCAAAAAGACCAACAACAACAATAAATGCGCTCACCACCAGCGTTGCTGTTGTTAACATGACTCCCATTTGTAAAAGATGATTCTGCTTGTCATCCAGCATTATGTTGATGTAATCTTCCGTGTCATCAACGTACTCCCTCAGCTTCAAGAAATATAAACACCAACCAAAAACAGTGTTTATGTCAATACCATTTCCAAAATTTTATAATAATACACGAGACTTGGTTAACTCCAAGACTAAACTTGGTTAATACAAGCATGTTAGCTCCTCCTCGAAAATCAAAGCACTGAATTTTTTTCCAACGAAAATAAGATAGTAAAAGGACAGCTCATATTGAAGTACCTACCGTGGATAGTTTGTTCAATGTACCATCAATTTGCACAAAGTAGGCCTCTAAGAGCATCTCTAGTTCCTCAACATCAAAATGCTTGCTTATAGCACTTCGGGTAGTACTAGTACGAGTCCCGCGACTACCCCTGCTCAGTGTGAACAGATGATCATTTGGGTTGTTGGTGCTCTGTGGATCATTTTCATAAGCACTAGAGACCCGATTAGCTTCCAGTGAGATTTCAGTTGGATCCCTGAAACAATCGAGTGCAAACATTTAGGCATGCTTCGTATGGTAAAGCAAGGACAATAGTCTCCTCATCGAAGTGATGGTGAGAATATGAGTTGCCTGTAATCCGTATCTGACTGAAGAATTTCCTCATCCATTTCATCACTTTCATTCATAGACGAGGTAGAAGAATTTTCAAGTTGAACCAATTTCTCGGTTAGATACATCTCCGCCATATCTTCATCATCATCCAGCAAATGTTCTAATTCATCCCTTACCTAGACAGAACAAGAAGATCGGGAGGATATATCTTTTAAACTTCCAAATTTACAATCACAAGACCATAAGATCATAATATTATTTCATGTCGAGTGACTAAAAATTTTCACAGTTCAAAAGCTTAAATCTACTAAACCTTCTGAACACGTCCAGTTATTGCCACCAGCCGGCTTTTGATTTGACGAACACGTTCCAAATTTAAAGTACTGATTTTTGAAGTCAGCTTATCCAAGGCTGGATGAGCCTCTAGCTCCAATGTCTTTGCCTGAAGGAAAATAAAGAATATGTATGTAAAGGTAAAATAATTTGCAATTCCAGTAGATTAAGCAGAAGAAGAAATTTTACCTCATTTTCTAAGCAAGTACAAGCAGCTTCAAGGCAGGCCTCCAATGCAACAAACTCGAAGGGAAGAACCTTTGATCCGTCTCGATTCTCAAGACCTTGTTTCCCATGTGCTTTACTTTCTTCGCCTCCCTCTCGAAATTGTGAAATGGGTCCTGAAAAATGTTGACTACCAATCCTTGATTGCTGTTCCCCCATATCATACAAATTTGCCCAGTTTGAATCATCCCCATTTCCCTCCTACGCAGAAGTAACAAGAAGAAAGCTTGTAAAGAATAATTAATCAAAACCCAAAAGCAAAATTGGGGAAGATTAAGAGAGACAACAAAGTTTCAGATTGAAGAAACAAACCGAGCAATTCTAGTGAGTCAAAATTAAATGGCTACAATCAAACTTAATTACCGTTTTACTTCTATGTGGACTCTTTTTTTTTTTTTTTTCTTTTTAAAAAAAATGTTGGATTGAAAACCAAAATTAGAGGGCTAAGTTGAAAAATTATACTGGAATTGACTGGGTCATACTTTCAGATCAGAGCAAAATTCAACCCATTCTGGTTAATAAAAGGACACTGAAAGCAAGCAGTAAGACTTTCACTAGGGTTCATTTATCATCTCAAACGTCAACCAGTAGACACTTCTTCTACTTGGTCAACAGCCGCACAAATATACAAGAGCCCAATTTTCCTTTTCTTTCTTTTTACTTGCTCATCATCCAATTCTCCTAATCTCCCTAAAATGACAGATAAAGATGTTAACTTTATAAAACCCAACGAAGAAAAGTAGCAAACAAATGCGAATCATGAACTGGTTACTTCAAAAAACAAACAATCATTGCCAACAGACGATATCCAATTCCGAAAAATCCATAACCTTCGAGAAATTTAAAGTAAAAAAATAATCATTTGAAGAAATATCCGGCCAAAAACCTGAGCTTTAGTTGCGTGATAATGGCACATGAGTCGTCTCTGCAACTCCTCAACAAAGGGCGTAACAGATGGGTCCCGGGAGTTCAGCAGGAGCACCTCCTGGGCAGTGATAATAGCCTTTATGTGCTCCAAGTTGATGACAATCGCTCTCTCTCGGCCTAGAACAGTCGAGGGGTAGGAGAGGAGCGGGTCGAGGATTCGAAGATCGCGGGCGGGCAGGCCCGTGCGGCGCATGATGGCGTGCTTTCCAGCTTCTAAGACTTGTGCCTGGCCAGCCGAGTTGAGCAGGAGCCATGGCCTTACTCCGATACCCTTCTTGCGGAGTCCAGCGACGACAGAGGTGGCTGCGGGGTTGACGGTGGGCCGGGAAGTTTCCGGGTCCTCTTCGGGTTGGGAATTACCCGGTTTGGACAAAGGGTGAGATCTCATCTCATGGACGACTGTGTCTGTATCCGACAGCAGTTGCTGGTGGACGCCTGGAGTTGGCTTCGACGATGATGATGATGATTATTATTATTTTATTTATTATTATTATTATTATTATCATATTATTATTGTAATATTATATTAAAAGGCAATAATCGTGCCATTGGAGAATTTTCGTTATTTTTTTATTAAAAAATTTCCTTATTTATTTATTTTTACTATGACACAAATATGCAATTTTTATATAGTTTCATGAAAAAAATATATATAAATAATATATAAATTTTGGAAATAAAAACTATAAAATATATTCAGTCTTTCTCCTGAAATATATTTTAAATTTTATTTTCTAGATTTATATGTATTTTACTTTATCATAAACTATGCAATTATGTATTATATATAGTTTTTATCACATCTTTCATCATCCAAATTTTTCATAAAAACAAAGTAACACTTTTTACTTCTATATAAATTTTGTTCATTTGAAATTGTATCTATATTATTTTATAAAAAATTTAAAAAGTTATTCTAATATTATATTTTATGCATAGAACATAATATATATATATATATATATGTATATCAATTGTGAATGAGTAGTTGGTATGAACATGATAGATATATAAACTATGAATGAGTAGTTGGTACAACCATTACAAGGTTACCCTCGTGCTTATTATCAATTACGTGCGGAATTAATCATTATCCAATTATTCAAACCATAAATTTAAAATGATAAAAAAAAAATTTAATAAGTAAAAAAAATTGATAAGACTTGGTTATGATCGTTAAAAAATTATTTAAAATTATTTGATGATACTTAAATTTCAAGTCAGAAGGTATTTCAAGACTCGGTTACGATCAATAAAAATTATGTAAAAGTGTTTTACGATATTTGAATTTTAAATCAAAGGGTATTTCAAGACTTGGTTACGAGGAATAGAGATTATTTAAAATTATTTAATGACACTTGAATTTTAGGTCAGATAATATTTCAAGACTTAGTTACGATCGTTAGAAATTATGTAAAATTATTTGACAATACTTGGTTACGATCGTTAGAGATCATCTAAAATTATTTCGCAATATTTGAATTTTAAATTAGAGGATATTTTTTAATTTTCATAAAATTAAGGGTTAAAGATTTGATTATTACTTAATGTGAGAATAAGTATTTATTAAATTTAAAGAATGAAAAATAATAATTAAAAAACTTCTTATATTTTTCTTCAAAATTTTAATTAACAGTAATTATATATATAACTAATCTCTAATTATCTCTAAAGATAATTGTAACACCCGGTTCTAAAAATTGGTCTAGAATAATTTTATAGATTATGAAATATATATATAAATAATTAAAATTTTTATTTTATTTTAATTTTATTAAATTTTTGAGAAAAAATGAATTAGAGACAAAATTGAAAATAATTTTGAAAAGAATAGGTGAACATTGAAAGAAAAATTGAAAATAGAGGGTTAAAGTATAAATAAAAAAGTTCGACCACGTAGGATCACCCAATCAACAGCCTCAATGAACCGAAGTGTGCCGTGTGGCCAGGCGCCCTCAAGAAAAATGCAGAATAGGGAGTACATCCAGAATTTTGAGTCTCGGCTGATGAATTACTCAGGTTTCAAGACAGAATATGTGTTTCAAATGATCGTAAACTGAAAAAGGACATCATGACAGAGGCTCACAGGTTCAAGTTTATCATACATCCCAAAAGTACAAAAATATATCAAAGTATGCAACCTAGTTTTGGTAGAGTGGGATGAAGAGAGAGGTAGCTGACTTTGTTTTCAAGTGTCTAGTATACCAATAGGTTAAGGTAGAGCATCAACGCTCAGACGGGTTACTTCAGCCATTATCGATCCCGGAGTGGAAATAAGAACATATCACAATAGATTTCGTAATATGATTGCCTACGGCATGCTTAGGACATGATATCATTTGGGTAATTATCGACTAATTCACTAAGTCTTTTCACTTCTTGGTTATTAAGATGATTGATCCCTTGTAAAAGGTAGCAAAAATGTATATATGAGAGATAGTCAGGTTACATAGGGTTCCAATGTCAGTAGTATCTGACAAAGATCTCAGGTTCACTTCTGATTTTAGTTTAACTTTCAGCAAGCTATGGGAACAAAACTATCCCTTATTACCGCATTCTACCCTTAAACTGATAGACAATCAGAGATGAAAATTCGTACACTAGAGGATATGCTCCGAGCTTGTGTTCTAAACTTCGGGGGTCATTAGGATGAACATTTACCTCTAATAGAATTCGCCTACAATAACAGCTACCAGACAAGTATTGAAATGACTCCGTATGAGGCATTGTATGGCTGTTCGTACAGATCGTTGATTTGTTGGGAAGATGTGGGTAATAAAAAATTATTCGATCCCGATCTTGTGAAGGAGACTACGGTCAAGATAGTTAAGATAAGGAAGAACATTCAAACAACTCAAAGCAGACAAAAAAGTTGTATGGACTCTCGGAAGAGAGATTTGAAATTTGAGAAAGGTGACCAAGTATTTTTTAAGGTGACTCCTTTCAAATAAATCAGTAGGTTTGGCAAGAAGAAAAAATTAAATCCCCAGTTCATTGGACAATTTGAGATCTTAGATCGAATTGGTACGACTACTTACATACTGACACAACCTCCAAAGCTATCCAGGGTTCATAATGTGTTCCACGTATCTATGCTATGTAAGTACAACCTAGACACCTCACACATTCTGTCCCACGAGCCCTTTTTACTCTAAGATGATTTATCCTATGAGGAGATACCAGTAGGCATTGTAGACCGAAAGAGTAGAGTATTTCACAACCGAAAAATTTCATTCATCAAGATCCTAAGGCAGAACCATACGTAGGAAGAGGCCACTTGGGAACTGGAATCAAGCTTCAGGGCCTAGTATCCCCAGCTGTTTGACTAGTAAAAAAGCAAAAAATTTGAGGGACCAAATTTTTTTAAGGGGGAGAAAGTTGTAACACGAGTCTGAAAATTGGCTTGGAATAATTTTACGGATAATGGAATATATATAAATAATTAAAAAAATTATTTTATTTTAATTGATTGAAATTTGAGAAAAAAATGAATTAGAGACGAAATTAAAAATAATTTTGAGAAGAAGAGGTGAAAATATGAGTTCAGGGAGTGTTTTTGAAAGAAAAATTAAAAATAGGGGGTCAAAGTGCAAACTGAGAAAGTTTGGTCATGTAGGATCGCCCAGTCAACAGCTTGATGAATCGAAGCGTGCCACGTGGCTAGGCACGCTGACGTCGGCGCCACGCAGGAGGCCATGCTAGCGATCCACGTGCCCTACGAACGGACGATCCAAGATCGAACTCGCACGTATAGACGGTCTGAATCCGTTTCCACCTTAGGCACAATTAGACGGTTGAGATTAATCGCGATGAACGGTCTAGATTTGTTTCATCTTTATACGTGATCAGACAAATGAGATCGATTATGGCCCAGATCAACGCGAAATGGTTATAAATACTTCACATCACAAGGAACCTAAACCCTAGCCGCTAGCCCCTACCAGAGAAGAAGAATCAGACGCTAGAGAAGGAGGCCGACCACCAACAACCGTTGTACCAGAATCACTGTTGACCGCCAAAAAAGGTAGAATTTTTCGCTACCTCATCGGAATCGAGTTCGAGTACCCCTGTGGCCAAATCGAAACAAGAAGAGCGGTGGGTAAGCCGAAAATTGTGGGAAAAGTCTGACGGAGCCGCTGCGGCTAAAACCCCAAAACCACTTCGATGAACCCTTTTCTGATTCCAGTTTCACGTGATTTTTGGATCATTGTGCTCACCATCTTTTTCTATGCAGGGTAACCGAAAAAAGAACCTCAACTGCGAAAGAGGACCGACAGAGCCGCTGCACCCAGAGGTCCTTCCGCCGATAGGTTTGGTCTTCTTTGAGATTTTCTTGCCAACCAGGGTCTTAACATATTTTTCTACATGAATATGGCCAAAACCAGTCAAAATATGCCAAGATTGATAAAAAATGGGCTAGGTTGAGGCGAACCATCACCGTGGGCGGCGGAGCCGGCACCAAAGTATTGCGGTGCCACCATACCGGAACCCCAAAAATTTATCAGAATGAGTTTTAGACACCGATTTTAAATTTTTAGGGTATTTTTAGGTATGTGACGAGTGTTTTGAATTCTACAGAAAAAATTCAGGGAATTCGGTACCCGTTAGGAAATGAGTAGATAGTTCGACATCTCAAAACGCCGATTCGGGTAAGGATCCCTCACTCTATTCTCCATTACAATAAATTGAGGGTTAACAATGTATAATTTTATGTTTTATGAAAATCTGAAAAACCCTAAAATAATTATAAGTTATTGGTGGGTCAAAATCTGTTAGTTCATAATTATCTTGATTCCTGTCTATTTTTCTGTACTGTCCTACTTGCTTGATTTTCGTATAGCACATGTTCTTAATTTATAGTTCAATAGTTTTATCAACTTATCTGATTATTTTGTTTATATACCGTCAACATGAATATACTTTAATT